AACAGTGGTTCGCAGGCCGAACACAGCTGGACGACGACCTGTGTTCAGGGAGCAACGATCCGAATACTACCTGAGGACGAACTGACCTAGGTGTAATTACAATGAGCATGCAGCATGATAGTGCTTCGAGTTTCGACTCTCAGAGTACTCCCAGTCGCAGGCCCTATTCCCGAAATATTTCAATACCCGAAGCCCAAGCATGGAAGCCGGAGCCTCGAAGTCCATCCCAGATATCTTGTCGGACAGGGCCCCGTCGGTATGACGGCAGTGAGCACCACGTACAAGGCCTTGAGCCTTGTGACTGCAGTCAAGTGCTATTGTTTTCAGTACTACATCAACACATGCAGCAAGATCTCAGCTAAACCAGGATGGTCCTTACTTGTACATTCGATGCCCAGGAACCCCTACTCGAAGTGCCTTTTCAAGAGTTGACCCACCTGGGCAGTAACGCAGCATGCGTGGTCCTGTCGTCTCCCTCTGCAGGCCGGTCTGATGAGCTATTGGATGTGGGGCCTCGGCCCTCAGCTCACCGTATCGAGGTCTCAACTCCCAAAAGCCTTCCATGAGGCTTCGTACCATGGGGCCACGTGCTGCCAGAGGCAGTGTGCTTCCATTTTCGGTTAACTTCAGCGCGTAGTTCGATGAATTGAAAATCCACAAATTCTAGGAACTTCGAACTGCAAGGGGCTCCAGTCCTTCTGCCCGACACTGATGCCTAGATCCCTGCACTGTGCAGCCGCCCAATGCCTAAACATGCCCTCAACCCTAACCGATGAAACCCAAACCCCGTAAATGCCAAACTGCAGACTCAAGGCAACCCTAAGCCCTTAGTTGCAGGCTTGCGGCATCCGGCTCCCCGTGCAAGCACTGCTCGTCTGTGTCGCAGTGGGTGCCGTCTTGGTTGGCCTGCACCTCGGGTACTACCGCTACTACAACCACTGCTGTCTCCTGCCAGGCTACAACAACACCCGGACGTGCTGTCATCGTTAGTGCAACTACTTCTACGCCTATGGACACCAATGCTGCTGCGACCGCTGCTGCTGCTGCTGCTCCTGCTGCTGCTCCTGCTGCTGCTGCTATTGCTCTTAGTCCTGCCACACCACCATTACTACTGCTGCTGCTCCTACTACTACCAGTAATACCGATACCGCTGCTGCTACGGCTACTGAGTAGCGGCTACTGCTACTGCCGCTGCTGCTGCTACAACTATTACCAGTGCTACTACTGCTTCGACAACTATGACGACGAGGACGACAACGAGGGCAGCAACAGTTGCCATTGCCGCAGCTGATGCTGCTGCTATTGCTGCTGCTGCTGCTGCTGCTGCTACCACTACTACAGCCGCGGCATCATCACTGTTACTGGCACCACTTCCTTCACAACTATGGTCTCATCGGGACACTTATCAGAACAACAAATAATGACAAATGAAACAAATAAAGTAGCGTAGAAGACACAAGAACCTCCAGTGGCAGACTTTGAATCAATCACATCAAATATGATCAAAATAAACATTTAACAACAAACAATGACAAATAAAACAAATGAAGCAGCGTAGAAGACACAGGAACCTCCAGTGACAGACTTTGA